TAGTGATTCTGTAGCATTTTAACATGGCAGAATCCGCTAACATTTAGCTGTCCAATACAGTGTCAGTTGAGTAAAATGTCAAGTATAAAGAGTGCGGGCGAAAAAGGGATGTATCGATACTTTGCAATTCTACTTCCGTTTTAAATGCTTCAAAGCTGCAGAAGAAACATTGCGCGAATTAAATAATCTGTAATTTTTCAAAAAGTCAGAACATACATTTAAGCATTTAAAATAAAATATTGCTAATCATACAGTGTACAGTCCATATTCTATAATCTGTGCCCGTCGTGATAATTGCTTTCAATTTCATAAATAATAATTTTCGGGCACGCTTTAAGTGAACAACCGTTATAGAGGCCATATTTGTTTGCGTTTCTTTAATCGCCGATTGTCGAAAAAATCAGAAATTTCATTGTGGGTTGTGCACATTCTACAATTTCTGTCCATCGTGATATTTACTTCCAATTTCATTCATATATATACATATTTGTGTCACGTAAACTACCGTTATATCGGCCATATTCTGTTTCTACGTTTCTGTATTGACAGTGCTTGTCCCTTACTTTAGAAACGTTCTCTCTGTGCAGCGCGGGTACTCGCAACCATCATGGATACAGACAATAAACTGCTATGCACAATTTGCGGCATTTCTGCCAACTTAATGTGCCAACGTTGCGGAGAACCCTACTGCAACGACGTGTGCCAGCGCAAGGATTGGCAGAGTCATAAATATGTTTGCACCTTGATGCCGTAAGTTTAAAAAAAAAAATACATACATACAAATATACATATGTATTTACCCTGAAGCCGTAAGTTTAAAAAACAAAATACATATGTATGTATGCATGCAATTCTAGAAATGACAATCTTAATTACTTCTCTTGGAATAGCAAAGAAATGAAGAATTTGTATTTTTTGTTGAAAAATGTGACCAAAGCAAATTAGAAAAATTGTACCACACAAATTATTTCCCACAACTGCATATAAGCTCATACCACATTATTGAAATTTTAAAATAATTCAATGTTGAATCTCTAAACTAACGCTAAACTGCTAATTTTTTGTAGCGGTTTGGTGAGTATTAGACCCATCAAACCAATGCCGACTGTGTCGCACGATTTGGCTGCTGCCCACAACGTAACGATCACAAAGGAATATCCCACTGAAAAAATGACATCTATGGTAAGGAAATTGTCAATTGAGGAATCAAGCGGAAGTAACTGGAGTCAAGAATGGCGAAATTATATGATGCCGTCAACAATGGATTTTTTCGAGTGTCGCGTCACTTGCATGGAAGCTGAAGGGCCCATTTGGGTAATGGATGTGGCCAATATTGAGAGCGTTGAGCGTCTAACTAACAACATTGCGCGCAGCATGCAGCACCAGAAACCGTTCTCAATTCACGATCTATCTACAGGCATCTTGGTTGGCGCCGCTGTTGACCATAAAATGTATAGGGGCGAGGTGTTGAATGTGAATGTGTCCGCCGAATATGCTGACGTGCGCCTCATTGACTACGGCACAGTGGTTTCTTGCATGTCGCAAAACATTTATCGGGCAGTGCCGCGAATGTCGCAATACAAAGCTTATTCATTCCGGGTGAAACTGCCCAACAACACGGGCGTGCGGATCAACAAGAATCTGACTTTGCGCCTGCTAGGTAGCAAGACAGTCGATGGTGTAGAGCAGGCAGAACTGAAGAGATTGATTGTTCCCCTTTGTTTACCATATGAATTGCTGGTCATAGAACCGGCAGTGAGGGTCATAAAGATTTTGCAGAGTAACGAGGAACCGCAAGTAGGTTTAGTGCAACTCAAAGCGATAAGTAATTTAAATGATGAGCTAAACGCCAGCCTGAAGAATAAGCCTGGTACGCCATTTAAGGAAGACTTTTCACCGAACGTACCAACCGTCCATATGGCAGCTCGCACTAATCAAGGTTATCGGCGTGCTCTACTGATAGACTATATCGATGACCCTAGGTTGTTTTTGGTGTACGAGATGGACGAGGGACGCATTTCTTTGACTAGCGAGGTGTGCCGCATTCCCAATAAGTTTGTCGGCCTACCAATGCGCGTGTTTGCCGTCAGCCTTGAAGATGAGCAGGTTGGCACCTTAAAAGATCATTTGACGCAATACGGTCCGGATCTGTCTATTAAGTTTAACAAGGACAGCCTGACAGGAAGGGACAAAGACAAGCTGCGCGTTGCAAAGGCAGCGCTGTACTCAAACGAAAATCAGGTGTGCGCAGTGCTCGCAAGATCCTTCTTAGGTTCAATAAACCAAATCGGGCTCAAGTATTGGCGGCATCCCATTGAAAACGACGACTTGGTGTATATATCGCACATTGTTAACTACAAGGAGGTCTGCATTAGTTCCGTGCAGTGCAAGCAATACGGAAATATATTCAATTGGGTGGAGACCAAATGTATGCCAGTCGACGACTTTAAAGAGATTATCATTGGAGACATTGTACTTGTTGTATGCTCCAGTCGTGGCAACTACCGGGCCGAGGCAAGTTAAAAATAGATGAGATTTTCGGCTTGAATTCGATTCAACATTTCTATTATATATTGCAGGTTGTTTCTTTGGACAACAATAAGTTTGGCGTTCGAAACATCGACACTGGCTCCATGCATCTCGTGGTAGGCGCCAATCTACGCAGGCCATGTCGATTTGTTGAGAATCTACCTGTTAGCCACTGCCGCGTCCAAATAAAAACCATCTGCAACATACCGCCAGAAGCAGTGCCGCCGAATTCAGTTGCCATGCAGATCCTGAAGAGGCTGCATGAAAATAAAATGGATTTGCTTGTGAAATTTGATAGTTGCGATAGAAATATTGTTGATTTGCTTGATTTAACGGCCGAGCCGAATTCGTTGATGACTCGCATGCTTCCAGTGTTGTTTACTCCTATTGCAGTCGAGCTTAACCCGGCTGTGCCCTTACCTGGTTTATCCACTATAGAGCGAGACCTAAAGAAATCATCAGCCATTTTGAATGAGGACTTACCTGAGGTGTCTTCAATTGAGCGAGAGCTACTCAAATCGTCAGTTACTCAAAATGTTAGAAAGAATAGTCTACCTCCGTTGCCACCTTCACCACCAACTTCACCACCGAGTGAGAAGAGTGAGAAATCCTCTAAGCAGGTCCAACGATATTACTTCAATGACTTGGAACGTCGTCTCCTGCCACTGGGCGTGAATATGGAAGTTATAATTTTAAATGCTGTTGGACTGGAAAACTTAGGATACGTTACAGCTTGTTTCATCGACAACGAGGAGGAGGCTGAACATCTACAGAACTTTCTCAATCTTGTTGCCCAGCTTGGAAGTGACGATGATAAACTGCAGCCTGGCTTTTTACCTGAGTAAGTGATGCAATGTAGCAAGTTGATCAATTATTTCTATTGTGCTTTTTCGAACAGGGTTGGCGAGTTGTGTCTTACCTTGTATTCAGAAGACAATTCCTGGTACCGAGGTGTTTGCAAACAGGTTGCTGGGGAAAAAGTGTCTATTTTGTATTGTGACTTTGGAAACGTAGAATTGGTTCCCATGCAGCAGATCAAACCAATTTCAAGCCAACTGCTTCACTGTGTCTATGCTACAAAATGTTTTATCGATGGTAAATATAAAACGGGGACTTCGTTGCTATTAATATTCAATAATCCCGTTTAATACCGTTTATTTATAGGTTTCGATAAAAATAAACCATTTGTGCATCTTGAGAAGTATCTGGCTGATGCAAATAAGATTATGTGTGATGTGCTCGAAGGACCGGAGCCCAACTCACGCACGCTTAAAATTCCGACATTGAATCAAATATTGTCGAAGGAAAAGATTTAAACTGCTACGTATCTAACTATCTTAAAAACTGATCTACTAATGCTATGGAAGCTATGGAGAAGCCTTAATTATGTTGATAAGTAATTGCAAAGTATCGATACTTTCGTTTCTGAGAAACTTAAAATAAAAAATACATTTTTATTGTTTGACTATACAATTTTGCGTATTATTTATGTACATATGTCGTATGTACATCTATAGCATGGCTTAATATATCATAAATAAATCAATAAATATATAGAATACGTTCAATCCACCAATTTAAGTGGGGACACATGTAGATTGTTTGAGATAAATGAAAAGCATTCGAGTTTTAGTTTTTGTAAGGTACAAACATCAACAGCTCAGTTACAACAACAATATCAAAGAGGACAAACATTGGTAACAACACTCAGTTCTCAGCAAATTTCTTAAGGATTTCATTTAAGATCGCTAAATCTCGCACGGCTATCAACCCATTTGAGTTACACTTCCAATCCGCGTCGGATTCTGATTTGTCGATGTAGTTTATTGGCACAGGTTGCTGCTGATTGACGCTGGCAACGTAGTCGAGCACATCGCCTCCAAGTGCGCGAAGAATCGCTTGGGGACCGCATGTATCCCAACGGAATGTGGAACCTTTGCTGAGCAGGTAGATGTCCGCTTCATTGGAGATCACTTTTAGCGCCTTGTGGCCAGCTCCTGCTGAAAAGGCCAGTTCATAATTTAGGTCGAGAAAATGCTGTAATATCTCGGCCTGCTCCGATGTGGAGAATATTCCTATTTTTCTATTTGCTCGACGTTCGCTTGAGTCTGACTTGCAGTTGTGGCACTTCAGAGTGGGCAAGCAGACTCCCCAATTTAAGGAGGAACTGTACACGTTTTCCTTTAACTTATGCCCAAATGGCTGAGAGACTATGCCAATTACAGGCACACCGCTGTCTCGTTCATAGACGCCAATTAATACGGTAACGCAGTCCAGGCCTGTGGAAGTGATGCCAGGGAAGTCAGTAAATATGGAATCGCCGGAAATGTATTCGGCAGTGGCATCTGGAATTGAACGATTGTTATCAACACCGGTGTAGCTAAAGTATTTACCATACCAATAGGATCTATCCAAATGCCTAAATTACTATAGTCGAGTGTTTCAGGTAGCTCCGGAAGATTTTCCAGAGTTGTATCGTAGTCGACGCTCCGATGCACCTCGGCCGCCAATGCTTCGGCTGCTTTCCTATGGCCATCGAGTACCGCCTCCAATCCTGCAGCAGTTTCCACTGCTGTGTCGCCCACAGCTATTGTTATTTCCTGGCCAAGTTTATTGGTGAAGTGTGTCGATTCTTCACCAAGAATTGATTCACGCATCTCTGGAAACAGTTTGCCAACCTCATGCCTTATAGTTTCCTGGATTAACACATCAGCCAGTGTCTTAAAATCATGCTCGAAACGTTGGTTGGCTTCTGCTCCAGTTTTCTCCTGAACGAGCAGCGCTAATAAATCTTCATTGGAGCGACAGACGCGGGCAATATTTGCCGCTTTTTCTGCACAGTTAATTAAAACTCGAAGCAAGTTGATATTCTCCGTCATCTCTATACATATCTTAATTATTATTGCATACTTTTATCGCTTTTGCTTCGTTTTTAAGGTTTCACTTCAGATGCAGACGTACAACTTGTAATTGTGGTATATCAGGCATCGACGGCCGCCACAGCGTGAAAATATATATCGATATCATGCGATGTTTTTGGTAGTGCCAACTCGTTGGTAACTTATTTGAATCTTAACTTTGTGAGTAAATAAATAAGTGCGAATGCATAAAAATAGTTGTATAAACATACACCATAAGATAAAATGATAATAATATGAATATTTTACGCAATGCAGTTTTAAATTCTGGAACTAAATATTCAGTTGTGCTCAAGGATCTGTCGCGGCAATCACATCTTTATTGAACCAGATTTTAATTGGCAATTAATAATTACGCACTCGCCGCCCCATTTAGCGAGTGCAGACAAATTTATAAATGATGTTTGGGGCGTAATAAGAAGAACGAGTACTACAACGACTGGTGCTGATGATGATGCTGCTGCCGCTGCACAATTTGCACCCGATCTTATCGCCGAGCACCGCTAATGATTCGCATTAATGATGCTCTGTCTCACTCGCTCACTCATTTCGCTATCATCTTATGAAATGGGATCATCAATCAGCTCTCGAGCCGCATCCCAGCGCCTGCATTGGCGCATTTGCATATAAATTGCTGCTAATGTCGCGCTATCAAAGTGACTGCATCAATGTGGCAACGACTACGCATTCTTGCAATGCCAGCTTCCCTTGCCCCATGCCACGCCCCGCTGCAACAGAATTGAATGCCCTACGGGCCAAGTTATTCGTGTATCGCTTGGCTTATGCTAATTTTCCCAGGCAGCAGCCGCATACAGCGTCCAGGCCGAGCAATTGATGTTTGGATAACGTTGACTTGATGACTTTGCATAATTTACGCCACGCAGCAACTGCAGCAGCAGCAGCCGAAGCAACAACAACAACAACAACATGGATTCTCTCTGAGCTAATTTTTCACTCAAACGCACGCGTTGCTTATAATGTGTTAATATTCATGCGGGTTGCTACAACAGCAACAACAACAACAATCGCTGCAACATATGTGTGTCGTTTTTCTTTTTGGACGACTTTTTAACTCTTTTTGACATTTCAATTTCTTTTCCTGCTTCAACTTTTTGGCAACCGATTTTTCAAGCCTTGTTCATTTCATACAGCTCAGAGCTGCAGTATTCGTCATCTTCAGGGACTTAACTCCCTATTAAGTTGGCTTGCTCAAAATAATAAACACCCTATACTTCTTATACAACATGTGTACATATCTTTATATTCGCCATATAGAGACTATAAAAGTACGTTTGATTTAGATGAGATGTCTGTGTAAAGAACTATGTATGTGAAAATCGCTCAGATCAAGTTAAGTCTAATGAAAACTTGTAAAGCAAACGATTTGTATTCCTTATG